GCCGCACTCATTTTGGCATACCCCTCACACGTTCCGTGGCCCCATAGAGATCTACCGAAGGCCGCAGTGGCTGCGTTCGCATGTGCCCGCATCCATTTCGGCACACCCCTCACACGTTGGCCCCCTCAGGGAGCTCCACCGAAGGCCCTTGCGGCTGCGTTCGCGTGCGCCCGCTGCACCAATTTCGGCACTGCCGACACACGTTCTGTGGCCCCATAGGGAGCCCACCGAAGGCCCCAATGGCTACGTTCGCATGCGCCCGCCGCACACATGTCGGCGCACCCCTCACACGTTTCGTGGCCCTATAGGGAGTTCCATCGAAGACGATACTCACAACTGCGTTATTCACAGTTCATACGGTTGGGCCCTTCTGCAGGGTACAGAAACTATATCCCGGCAAAGCAACCTAACAGCGATGTGTATAAGCATATCTGGAATCATTCCGCTTAAGAATCAGGTGAGAATCCAGTTGTAGAATTCTGCTGTTCTCGCAGTCGCAGTCGCATTCGCAATGACAGTCGCAGTGGCAACGGCCTTAGGATCTAATGAAATCCTAAGGTTTCCTCAGGATTCCTAAGGCATCCTTAGGCATCCTTAGGAATCCATAGGAATCCTTAGGAAACCTTAGGAATCCTTAGGAATCCTGATTCCTAGGGATTCCCAATTCCTAAGGATTCCTAGGGAATCCTAAGGATTCCGAAGGATTCGCCTGCCTCGGCCTCAGCCTCAGCCTGCCTCAGCCTCAGCCTGCCTCAGCCTCAGCCTCAGCCTGTCTCAGCCTCAGCCTGCCTCAGCCAGCCTCAGCCTCAGCCTCAGCCTGCCTCGGCTTGCCTCAGCCTCAGCCTCAGCCTCAGCCTCAGCCTCAGCCTCAGCCTGCCTCAGCCTCAGCCTCAGCCTCAGCCTCAGCCAGCCTCAGCCTCAGCCTCAGCCTCAGCCTCCGCCTCAGCCTCAGCCTCAGCCTCAGCTTCAGCCTCAGCCTCAGCTCTCAGCCTGCCTCAGCCTCAGCAGCTCAGCCTCAGCCTCAGCCTCAGCCTGCATCAGCCTCAGCCTCAGCCTCAGCCTCAGCCAGCCTGCCTCAGCCTCAGCCTCAGCCTGCCTCAGCCTCAGCCTCAGCCTGCTTCAGCCTCAGCCTCAGTCTGCCTTCAGCCTCGGCCTCAGCCTCAGCCTGCCTCAGCCTCAGCCTGCATCAGCCTCAGCCTCAGCCTCAGCCTGCCTCAGCCTCAGCCTGCCTCAGCCTCAGCCTCAGCCTGCCTCAGCCTCAGCCTCAGCCTGCCTTCAGCCTCAGCCTCAGCCTGCCTCGGCCTCAGCCTGCCTCGGCCTCAGCCTGCCTCAGCTCGGGCATTCAAAATATGGCTCAGGACTGGTGTTCTGGGAACACGAAGATCACGAAGTGGCCTACAGTTGGCTCCGGGCAATCAAAATATGGTACAGGAATTCTGTTCCGGGAACACGAAGAACACGAAGTGGCCTACAGTTGGCTCCAGGCATTCAAAATGTGGCCTGGGAATGGTGTTCTGGGAACACGAAGAACACGAAGTGGCCTACAGTTGGCTCCGGGCATTCAAAATGTGACTTGGGAATGGTGTTCTGGGAACACGAAGAACACGAAGTGGCCTACAATTGGCTCCGGGCATTCAGAATGTGTCCTTGGAATGGTGTTCTGGGAACACGAAGAACACGAAGTGGCCTACAGTTGGCTCCAGGCATTCAAAATGTGGCCTGGGAATGGTGTTCTGGGAACACGAAGAACACGAAGTGGCCTACAGTTGGCTCCGGGCATTCAAAATGTGACTTGGGAATGGTGTTCTGGGAACACGAAGAACACGAAGTGGCCTACAATTGGCTCCGGGCATTCAAAATGTGGCCTGGGAATTGTGTTCTGGGAACACGAAGAGCACGAAGTGGCCTACAGTTGGTTCCGGGCATTCAGAATGTGGCCTGGGAATGGTGTTCTGGGAATGCATTCCTAAGGATTCTTAAGAATTCCTAAGGATTCCTAAGGATTCCTGGGGCTGCACTTTTGTCCGGATCCCGCCCAGACCCCCCTGGGGCGTCAAGATGCTCTCTTTTGATCCCACTAAAAACCTATCAGCAAAAGCTGTTAGGTAATATCCGACGCACCCCTCGCACTTTTCGTGACCCCATGTGGAGCTCCACCTAAGGCCCCAGCGGAAGTGCTCACATACGGCCCCACATCAATTTCGGCGCACCCCACGCACGTTTCGTAGCCCCAGACGGGGTTCCACCAAAGGCTATAGCAGCAATGTCCGCATAGCGACTCCCCGCCCACCTTTGCATGCCACTTATGCGCTTCGTGGCCTCATTCAGAGCTCC